CAGAACTTGCAGACCATTTTTCACAAGATTTGCAGCAATTTGGTCTTCATTAAGGGAGACAACACTGAAGTTAGCCACTTTGGCAGCGATCTTGGTCTTGTCAAATTTGCAGGTTCCACCATCAATACCGGTGTAAACATAATCTTCTTCTCGCATGAGTCCACCAGCTTTAAGAGTGTACTCAAAGGCACTATTCATCAGCCCACCATTGCACCTCGAGTCACAAGCACCTGCTTCCTCTGGATCACACTCGTGGTCACAATCCACTAGTTGTTGCTCGCTAAGGCTAACCAGCTTCCCTGTAGCGAGATAATTCGCACCTTCCAATGCCCCTGTCGTACTAAACGACCAGCACGACCCACACGAACCCTGATTCTTTACGGGCGTGACGGCACCATAGTCTCTCCAATCGAAATCCTCGGGAAGATCACTCGTCGGAAGGATCGGAGCCTGGTTCGCATCCTTCGGAATCTTCAGCTTACGCTTCAATCCGAGGAAATTCCGGCGAAACTCAGCCGGAGTTAGATCGGAGAACTGAGTCACCCCGTGGACCGCCGATGGATCAAGCTTCTGGAGGCGCTTCGCGCGCGGCAGGTTAGCATTGAAGACCGAAAACCTGTAATCGTGCTCCTCCTTTGTAGCATAGCTTTTGCCAAACCTCCTCTTGAAGATCGAAAAATGATGATCGGCGTTCAATAGATGATCGTCGCCGACTACTTGCCGGATTAAGAGATCTTCGGTGGTGTTCACCTCGTCGTCGGCGAACACGAACGACGTCGCGAGAAGGAGAGAGAAAACAAAGAGGAGACCTAATCGGAGAGCCATGGTGTTTGAGGTACAAGACTAAGGCCCAAAATTGAACGGAAGAGATTGGGCAAAAACGAGGGCCAAGACGAAGCGACGGCTTGATCAAGGCGGACAGCGACGACGCCGTCACTTTAACCTCTCCTATTCACTTTTAGGTTGTTTGCTGAAGAAAGAGAAACCCTAACCACTGGATTAAGGTTGTGGTGGACTGGTATAAGGATGGGCAGTCGGTGGACTGGTTTTGTCGCTGGTTTGGTCGGTTTCACTGGGCAACTGATGGCCAGGGTGGTTTCGGCGGTATGGCTGGTAGAGCCATACACTAACCCTACCCCAAACCCTAGCTCTGATACCAACTTGAAATAATTGTGAGTAAAAGGAGATACTCAAATTAAGAGTAAAACCCCGTATATATAGGCAAAATATAAAAATCATAGTAAGGGTAAAAAAGGGAAAAGAAATCCTAAAGGGAAAAGAAATCCTAATAAACCTAGGAAAGAGAAATCCTAATAAACCTAGACTATCTATACTCCAACATGTACTGTAACTATAAAACGTCATTTAGAATCACGATTCTAAAGTCGTCATTTAAAATGACGATTTTAAAGTCATCATTTAAAATGACGATTTTAACGACGTTATTTAAAATGACAATTTATGTGAATTAAAATCAAATTTATCCTTTCCCAAATTCACAAAAGCCCTAACTCTCTCTCTCTCTCTCAAATTCGAAATCAAAAATCAACCTCTCTGACCCTCTCCAGTCCTCCGACGAAGCCACTCCTCAACGAATAGCATCCCAGGGAAGTTCGCAAAAACCAAGACATAGCAGTGTTCCTCCAACGAAGCCATTCCTTCACTCCTCGACGAATAGCATCCCGGCGAAAGATTTCGAAAAAACGAAGACCATAGTAGTGTTCCCCTCCTTCGACGAGTTCTGGCCATCATCGTTTCTGTCCACAACTCCCTCTCCTCTGACGAGTTCTATCCTAGTGTCCCTCTCCTCTGACTTAGGTACTTTAAGCCTCTTTTCGGCCATGCTCATATTGATTGTATTTATGATATACATTATGAACATGATGCTGCTTTGGTCTTTTGTTTTTGAGCTTAATGAATGGAAGACAATAGTTTTTAATTTACTCACTACTGGCTAGGGCACATTCTTAAAATTTACAACTGGCTAATGAATTTTGTGTGCTAGCAATGAATTTACAACTAGCTACTAATTAGTTCAACATCTACTAATGAATTTTGTTGTTCAATGTAAGACATCTTCAGTTGTCATATATGCTATAAGATATCGCAGACCTCGCAAGTGGAGTGGCTTAGTGAACATCCTCTTCGTTTTCCTTTTTTCCTTTCATTGTGCCTTGGGTGACTGTGCTTGGGGATCCCATGCCAAAGGTGTTCTTATAACCAGTGTTTTTAAGGACCTGGTCCTTATGTCATAGTGACTTATTTCTGATGAAGTGAGAGTCATGAAGAATTTGGTAGTTTAAATATGTGTAAATTTATAAGTGACAATAGCTTGGAGCAGCCAAGGGAATATTTCGTTGATAAGTGCAAAAAGTACAACAATTGGAAGAAAAAGGCATGGCTTGGTAACATGGTTTAAATACCATCGTACATCTTTTTGTTGATTGAAGGGTTTTTATTCGGCGACAAGTTTTCGACTAAGATGAAGTGTCACACCCCATCTTAGTGTTTTAAGGATAAGACGTGATTAGGTTTTTGATACGCCTGTTTACGTATATATAATCTAAATTAATAAAACACCAAACAATCTCATAGGTGCAACAACACCACCCATCACCTTAGTCGTTAAGTGTGATGGTAAAACTTGTCTTATAACCTGTATCATATATAAAACACTTGTACTAATCGTTTGTTTCTGAGGTTATAGACAGATACAAAATTTCACACCCACACATCATACATCACAAAGTATGTCTGTTAAGTCTGTTTACAAATACATATACTATTAATCTGCTATAATAATCTCTCATTTAACATAGTATACAACCCAACAAATAATTATACAGTCCCTTAACCAATATCATTTACTCATTTAAAACTAAATACATAACGAACAGAATATTATACTAACGTTGTACAAAACTAAACCCTTTTGACAGTAGACTGATCTGTGTCTCCCTCTCTTGTACTTGTAAAGGAGAAACTATAGAGGTGTGAGCTAAACCACGCGCTGAGTGAGTATACATGCCGTATATGAAATGAAAATGATAGTAATACACAAAAGTTGATAAATACTACGTAAATACACGTATCAAACAACAATATCCATCCAATTCCAAAGCATTCACAAGCCACAATACATTCATACTACCCCTCATTGAGTAATCGATCCCACATGGATCTGTGTCTCCTGAACCTCCTGGGAACATTATATTGCTAGCACACCACTGCACGCCCAGTGATTAGGCATCGAGGCTCCTGTCTCAAACAGTGCGCCACATTTTCACAATATACAATACACAATACAAAGTATCATTCAATCATATAAGCACATAACACATAATCTTGGAGAAATGCTATAAAATTATGTCATTTAATAACATGTTATAATAGCATTTTCAAAACACATAAAGATATACACCCACCTCAAATATATCGATCTTTGGCCCTTCGGTTCTATTAGTGGGTCCATCTAGTGTTATTGTATTAGTTTGAATACCGACTGTCTCACCCGTTGTACCTAACACATTGATAATTATAATATCAATATGTTTATCATATTTAATAGTTAATCATACACTAATGCATGCAAAATGATGCACCCAAAGTGCCCCGGTAACTCCGGTTTTCATACTATCCACTCATGTACTGGCACATTAGGTTTAGGGGCCATATTTTCTCCCTAAATCTTTAAAATCATTCACATTAATCACAATTAGGATTAAGTAGGTCAACCACATTGACCGAGGGCCCATTTTTACACATTTCAACCCAAAATCCTAAAAACTGTACTTCTAACATTTCATACATTTCACACCGGATATTATTTTCATTTGCGTTCGAAATTTACATCATCACATCAAGTATCAATTAAAAATGTAGCATGCAAAATTTTAGGTCATTTGAATTAAAATTCACATATGTAACAATAATATTTAGAAATCAGGGTTTCGATAATATCAGCACTCATTTCCAATTTCTATCGTACTTTTTCTTTTAAAATTACTACATTTAAATTCACATACACATTTAATCAATGTAAAACAACCCCTAATTGAACCTTTAAACCACCCATTTCATTGCCAAAATTTTCGTTTTCAACCTAGCCCACAAAATACTTCCCGAATATCTCAAATGATCATTTCTACACTTTTCGTACACTCGGTTGAGTACTTATTTAATACGCCTTCTTAACAGCTCCTAAATTTTATGTAACACCTTTAATAAAATATATTTTGAACTTAAAATAAAATAACCCATTATTTTAACACAAAACAGCCCACTAATTATGTTTAATACACTTAATTTAAACTCACCAAAATATACTTTGAAATTACACTAAAACAGCCCATTAAAATTAACAAAAATAGTCCATGAAAGTAAATTAAAATAACCACTAATTTAAAATAAAACAGTCTCCACATGTACATACATACCAAAATTTATCATACATACCTTCATTTTCTTTGTTTTTACTCTTATTCTTTCTCGGTTTTTTGCTTATGGTTCAAGAGCCACACCAACAAATATTTTTCCTCCTTTCCCTCTTGTTCACTCCCACTACGGTTCCAGTAAGGAACCAGGTACACACACACACACTAAATTCTATATTAAACACACACACACCCTTTTACTCTTTACATTACACACACATACACTTAGCACCCACACACACATGCACTTGACTTTTCCAAAATTACCCACCCATCTCTTACTTTGGCACATATTAGGATGACTCATCCTAATTCACTGACTACACTTGCCTCCCCCAAGTTCTTAAGTGATTCAAAATCAACCTAATACTATTTTCAAAGACAATATTCTACCTAATAAATAATTTCACATGATTGCAATTAGTCCACATAATCATGCTAATATGTATGCAATGCATGATTGGGTCTCACATGAAGCTTATGTTGCTACCATTGCTCGTAGACCTACATGCGACCTGCACTTTTACTTGGGGGCAGTTAGGCCTTTTCATGGTTATTTTGGGAGATGTGTCTCGCTACTAAGCGGGACGTGAAAGATATTAGCGGTCCACTTATTTTAATTCAGGTAACTGCTTGCATTATTCACTTAGTTGCTTACTTTGATGTTCTTGTAACTGTATATATATAAAAATATTGTACTGTGTATGTAGTTGTGGGCATGAGAGCGACTAATACACATTATTCTACAACATGTGCTACCACGACAACGAGTCGCCCATGGTGCAGCGGCGCACGATGGGGCTGATACAGGGTTAGATGGAGTTGGTGGATGGGGACCCTGCACATGACGTTGTTGATGCGCACGGACTACATAATGGTCCCCTTGGTTATAGGTGCGTAATAAAGATACATTGCAATCTAATGTGTATTTTACGCGTTATTATATATTTATATATTTGTTGAAATGTATAGATGAGATATAATATTTTCGGAGTAGCACACTCCTACCCATTTACTACGTCACTATCAGGACCAGATGCGCGAGGATCAGGTATATTAGCTTAACCATATCTTACGAACTCAGATGTTCATTGTTAAAGTTTGTTAATGTATTGGGTTAATTGCATTGAATTTACATGTGAAGTAAGTGAATGTTGAGATGGTGGGATGTTTATTTATATTTGTTTATGCCTGTCATTGAGTTGGGCGTGTTGTGTACAGGTTGGCAAATTTTGGAAATAGATGAATTTTCAAAAGAAACTTTGCCCAATTTTTTTAAAAATACTTTTACATTTATTAATGATTTCTCACATTTTGTATTGCAGATGATATGGGAGCCATATACTACCGAGGTAATGGGTGGCCTACCAGAGATAGCATTGTTACCGGAGACTTGAGTACCGCACCGATGAATCTGACCGACGCATACATGCAATGGTATCGTCACATCACTCGGCGGCTTGTTAGTCCACCCATCTCTAGGCTTACTGTCAGTTTTCAGCTAGTTGGGAGCATCATAGAGCTGCCGATAATATGTTGTAATGTTTTTGTAGGAAGACACACTTACACGGATATACCACACTACACGTGGTACATATGAGGGCAACTCGGACTAGACATATTGCATGGACACCATTGGGTGTATCACAGATATGAGCACCTCATGTTTGACATCCATTTGTGAGCATCAACGACTTGTCGACGCTTCAATATCAGCAACTGATGTTCTGTCTACATCTGCACAGCCACCTCCTGATCTTCACCATGATTGTTCTACTTCTTTATCTTCACCCACATCGGCACTTACATCAACACCGACACAGTCTCATGCACCCACATAGACTCCAACGCCCACACCGACGGTGGCACCTGCACATATACAGGCACATGCACTTGATACGATACTGACACCGGCAGAGGCACTTGCATCACCATCAGTACTGGCATCAGTTCCTGCACTCACCCTAACACATGCGCCTACACCGCCACCGCCACCGACATCGACACCTACAGCGGCACATGCACCCACGTCGACCCTAGCATCGACACCCACATCAACCCCGACATCCTCCCTGACACTGACTGTAGTTGCGTCCACACCTACACCAACACTCACTTCGACCTGACTGTAGTTGCGTCCACACCGACACCAACTATATTTAAAGTTACACTTTGTCATACACATGTGGATTTTCCTATTTCCACTCCACCACTAGTGGAGTCATCACACACATTCCCTCCTACATCTTCTAGACAACCTCTCTTTCCAGATTCATTGTTAGATTAGGAGGGAGTGACACAAGATGTTGTAGTTGTAGG